GAGAGAGAGACAGAGAGAGACAGAGAGAGAGACAGAGAGACAGAGAGACCACAGAAAAATAAACGAATTGTGTGATTTTTCTTTCAAACATTAAAATCAGGGTATGCTCATGCCAGTTGCTATGAAAACAAGTGTAAGTGCACTGGCTGGTATATATGCTTAGAAAATGTACATTATACATTGTAGGATAAATTGATAGTGGTTTTCCATTTTTTATAATTAAAAGAAAATATTCTAAGCTAATCACTCAAAACCTTTTAAATCAATTTGAAATACAGATGTGAAGGAACCTATGATCACTGTTTAAGGCATTTTTAAAATGCTTGGACAAATTAATTGTACCATGCTTCTGTATGCTTCTGCAATAGTATATACAGTACACCATGTTATGTATGTTATGTTCCTTCTAGTCTCCTGAAACATTTAAAAATACCACTTCTTTTTGCTGAGAATTGAGAAATTCTAGAGGCAACTGACTTCTATTTTGAGCTAGAGAACGTATATACCATATAAACATGTTATTTCCATATTCTTTGATGGAGATTGAACTTACATATGCTGTAAAGACAATGGTGCTATGAAAAGCTATTATGCACTTTCTTGCCATGGCATGTAATGCAGTAGGGCCTCAGTAAAAAAATGGGAACTGCTTTAGCATGTTTGTTTTAGAATTTCATATACAGTATTTATTCTCCTCAGTTCTATGGTTCTGTCTTGATGCATTAACATGTTGTCTGTAATTTTCCTAGAAGACATTTTATATCTTATGACATTTTACATTTGAGGAAACTTGGTATTTAAGGTAGAATGTAGCCACTCCTCCCCATCCGAAATCCTAGGCCTACAGGGTTGTTAGAGAATGTGGTTTCTTCACATTACTTTTGACTCTAAAGCCTATTTATATAATGAATGTCAAATTTATTTCTAAAACTCTCTTTGAGAATGAAAGTGACCTTTCATTCTGGCTTATATGGAATTTTATGGTGTGGAGAAATTACCTTGTGATTATTTTTTGCATGATTAAAAATTTGCAAAGTTCTTATGGCTCCAAAGAGCCTACCTGTAATAAACAGCTTTCGCCTTCTAAACCACAAACCGGGTCTGAATTGCTTGAGCATTAGAGCTAATTGCCTGCCTACTTCAAAGGAAGAACTGAAAAGAGAGAGGGGGAGGAAAAAAAAAAAAACCTCACAGAAGCAGGGGCATGGCAGAGGAATCCACCACTCAGGGCTCTGAGCTGTGGCTTGGAGAAGCCAGGCAAAGTTATGGCCTCAGAACTGCTGTTTGCCATTAAGTTGATGGGGAGCGTCTATCCCACAATCTTTCCCTGCTGCGGACACAGAGTCTTTGTTCACATTCAGATTTCTCAAACTGCTGCAGGGGTCAGGCTGAGGTCAGACACCACAGTGATGTATAGAAGAACATGTCTGGGAATTTCTCTCACACTTGAAACACATACCAGAAAATGAAGAAGAGGTACTTACAAAAATCTGTCTGATGAGACCCAGATTATACTGTAGCCTGCTTTTTAGTGCCTTCATATTTTTTTTTCTTTTCCTGCCACACAATGTTTTATTAATGGGAGTTGCGGTAGCCCTTACAATTTTGTGTCCCCTGGAGATAAGGCTGCTCGGTAGCACTCTGACACTTCATTTTCTAGCCCTGGGGGGAAGGTCCAGTAAATCTACTCAAAGAAGTCTTGCATCCTTTTTCAGGATGAGTTGAAAAGTAATTGTCATGAGCCTGGCACTAGAGACCGTGTGACGTGTGCATGTGGACTCGGCAGGGACACAGCCTAATCTGGTCATGATCTCAGCCTGCCTGTTCTTGAAGTCCTCTCAAGCACTGTACCCACAGCCTAGCTGGCTGCTGGGAAGAGAGACAGATGCAGGGGTGGGAGGAGGATATGGGATGGTGAGCACTGATTATCATCAATAGGGGAAAGCAATATAGTGTTCCCAAACACTGAGGGTTTGTCTTCTTAAAGTAAAATTTCCATGCATCTCTGCCCAAAGGGGCACCTTCCCAGACACTTAGATTGCTTTCCACAGTGCAAAACTGAAATAAATGCATTCATATTACCGTATCTTGGAGGACTCTCAACTGAACCCAACTCTTATTTGGAATGTATTAAATGTCCTGTTTTTCCTTTTTGCTTACACAGTTGCAGAGCATGGCTGAAACTGAACCACTAAATAGATTTTTTTTTGTCCTCAGCTGCTACATATGACAGTGGATATTTCATTCTGCTGCCAGAATGTTATTAATAAAACATGGGGTGTGGAGACGGCCACGATTTCCCCTTTCAATCACTATAGCATTTGCAATGAAAATTTTATTCAGTGTGTAATTTTCAGTGAATGCTTGACACTTGAAATGTCCATAGCAGCATTTTGTATGGTTATTGAAGGGTTAATTGTATCATGTTCTCTGCATAAAAGCTCTGCTTATCAAAAGCAAATAGAAGAGTGTATGCAAATGTGTTCTGATGACCTTTTGCCTTTCCAGGGTTAATTTATATGGTCATTAAAGATTTTATGAAATTGTGCGGCCTGGTGCTTCAAATCCCATTTTACCTCCTTCTCCTAATTTATGTAATTCCTACCTGAACTCGGGAATATGGCTTTTATTTTTTGTACTGCAATGAAAACAGCATGCCATGCTGTGGGGAGTTGTGAGCCTGGTTATCTGGCATTACTCAGATTGCTAAAAATTCATTAAAATGTGACATCAGCACACTGAGAGACAAATGATGGCAGGATGAAAGAGAACAGCGGGCCTTTCACGGATTAGTGCTGCACAACCCCAGCATAGAGGCTAACTGCGTAAACAGATTAATCCACCAGCAGTGGTATAGCCGAGATTTACAGAATAATTAAGTAGGTTTGAGTTACTAGGAGGATTTCCATGTAATCTAGCTGGTGTGATCCTGTGAATGAGGTGTGGGGTGGTGCAGTTGGTTTACAAGTACCTCGTTATGTCAGAGCCCTATGTAGCTTTCCTCTACAGACAAATCCCCAGTGGAACTGAAGTTTGTGTAGCTCATCTAAGAAAATCCTAAGGAATCCATCCAAGGAGTGTGGTCTGAGCCCAGGAAGAACACCTGTCCTTTATGGAAACCTTTGTTCCCATATTATGTCACTGAGAATTTCTTCTCCAAGTTCATGAAAAGTTCTGCTATTGAAATTACAGTTGCCTTCTATCCATTTCCCCCGTTTTGCAGGATAAACTATAGGAAAAATGGTTTGTTACCTCTTAATAACATGTAAATGCTCTCCAAGTTTTAAGATGCTCTACTTTTGAATGAAAATTTACAGTAGGGTGGTCTCATTTTGTTCTAATGTAGACTTCTGCCTCAATGTGTAATTTCTGTTTTTTAATAGGAAGATGTGTAGACAACTCATAGATAAAATTTAAAAATAAACTGGATGATAAAGATCACCTAGTTGATATTAGTGGACATTTCCAGGCTTATTGATTTTTCTCACTGATCCACTTTCTTAACAGAAGAACAGAGTGAAGAGGCAGGAGGGGTTCCGAAACCTACTTCAGTGACTGATGAGGATGAGACGGAAACACAGAGAGACAATAATGAAGGCAAAAGCTCTAATAAAGACCCTGGTAAGCTACTAGACTCTTTCCCTTTTCCTTTTCTTATACCCATCCATTCCCTGAAGTCAACCTTCCCTTCCCTGCATCCCCCAATGAAGCACATTAAATGCTTTTATTCATTTTAAACTGTCTGAACATTCCCACTACAATTCATGGTGTGTGCATTTTGCATGTGATTTCTATCAGTAGCCTCCCATTGACCTATTTTTAATCATAACCATCTGACAGAATAGATGTGGATAAGTTGAAGAATATTACAGGATGACTAGTGAGATTATTTTTTAATCAAATCAGTTTGTGTGCTTGTAATTTTTTAAGCGCCTTTCATTAATCTTAGCTATACTTGTGATTCCTCTGATGGCATATTAATTTTTCATAAGCTCAGGATTAGATATCACTTGAATTTTATCATTCAATCATATGCACCCTCCTACACTATGTAACCCTAAAAATAAATGCTCTTCTCTCTCTCTTTCTCTCTCTCTCTCTCTCTCTCTCTCTCTCTCTCTCTCTCTCTCTCTCTCTCAGGAATTTGGTCTTTATGTGGGCATCTATTTGAGGCATTTCAAACAAAATCCAGTAGAAAAGTTTACAGATGATTCGGCCTAAGAAGGAGGAAATATCATTGAAAAGGGATTAGGTGCTGGGTAATTTTGATCTTCTAGAATAGACAAATCCCAGTAATGAAAGCTACTGTCTTTGAAAACAAACCTTCATGTCATGACATTTACTTGTGCACAAACAAAACCTAGGCCAGCATCTGGTGTGGATACCTACGGCTTTTTCTGTGTTTGATTTGGCAAATATATGGCTTCATCCATGCTTTGTATGTATGAGATGGAAATCTGTGGTCTCGATGAATATTACATTGACCACTTTTGCTGCACGCTATACCTAGTTTTATTATGTTGGACTCATTGAAGCAGAAGAAGTGCTGAAACGGGTTCAAGCCTATTAGTCTCAGGTAGTCATCTATCTTTTCCTTGAATTCCAGTGACAGCTGCATATAAAAAGCTTTGTGTTCAGTAGAAAGATACTGGAGTGCATAGAATTCATCATTTTTTTGTATTATGAATTTGTTTAAATCTCAACTATCCCATACTTGTAACTTAGTCCTTATGTGTCTAAATTATCTTCTTCCCCAAACTATTTAATACTAAATTTCTCACAGTCATCCTGGGAGAGTAGCATCATTACTAATTGCTTCTAGGACATAGTACCATACATATGATTCTAATTTGATTTAAGCCAATAGGATCTCAGGTTAGTATCTTGCCTAAAGAGGAAGCTGAGGGATTCTGAGGCAAATGACACAGAATTTGCAGTACCTATTGTCAGCAATAGCCCCATGGAGATCTCATTTGAAAAAGGGACTGAAAAAAGCATGGTAGCCAGTTTATGCCATCTAAGACAGACCTCATTGAGATGAGTAGCTTGCCAGTTGGTGGATGGTAGAATTCTCTTCATTTGGTGTTTGATGCACTTGTACTAGAAGTCATTTCCCCTTTATTCGTCAGAGGAACATATAACACAGAAAGATATCATGGCAGGGTTCACTGAGTGTTCATAAATGTAGAACCTGAAGCTTGATATCAAACATCTACTGTCTAGGATTTTGGCAGGGAAGGATTGTGGGAGTACTTTTGAAAATAGATATCATATTGCTGTTGAGTATCACACCAGAGGTGCAGCTCTGTCTCCACAGTGCAGTTTGCTGCTCTGCATAAGTCATGAACTCAATTGCTCTCTAATGGCCAGATGAGTAATTGTTCTTTTTTGAGTTCCTAATTGTACCATATAGACAAGGATGGGCTGTATAGAAAGGAAGATCATTGCATAATGACAGTTATTTAAAATAAATGTTATACCTGTAAAAAAAATTCCCAGGTTCAAGCAGAGAGTTAAAAAATGACCTCTAAACAAGAGCCAACTAAAAGCAAATGTTGAGATGCAAGTATTTAGCTCTGAAACCTTGTAGCCTTTAAGGCAGCTCTTGTTACTTAAAACTAACACAAACTTTAAACAAAGTTCTGTTCTTTCTGAATTGATTCTTCACAGGTTAAAAATTTATTCCAGGATTGTTGTTCTTTGTAAAAGTGTATCTACTGATTAGGTAACCACTTATTTATACCTTTTGTTCTTCTACCAGCTATAATTGTCAAAGAATAAGAGCGAACTTACAAAGAAATTGCTTTGTTTGTCTGGTAGATGAGAAAATTCGTTGACCCCACTTTAACCTCGAAATTTTTAGGCAAGGAGGAATTAGCACATGTCTGGAGCAATGTGTTGGTAAGCTGCTGTGTTCTGTTGCTAACATTAATCTGAAGGACTACAGCTTTCAAAGTGAGACTTGGCAATATGCAAGTTATATTTGCTGAATATTCATTCATAATAGAAAAGCTTCCTAATGCCTCATTTATATTGTCATTTAAATCTAGTGCCACTTTAGATTAATTATAATCCAAATTATAGCTCAGTGCAGTATGAGAATTAATATAGAGTTTATCCAGATTAATACATTTGCATTGAAAATATAATATGTCTCTGCCATGGCTAAGGGGACCACTTTTTAATAAGGGAGTAAACATGAAGAAAGATGGAAATTAACCTTCATTATTGCAATTAAAATTATCCTTCCATTCTAGTCTCATTAGAAAAAATACTGTATTGGTAATTACAATTTTGAATTACTTGAGTTAAACAACATCTGTTACATCTGAGTTTTAAAGTATTCAAACTTTATCAAATATAGATATTTATAAATAATAACTCAGTATTTTGATTTATTGTTTTTCAAGGTTCACTGTAACATGTGTGTTATTGGATTTTCCTGACTTGTTATAAATATAAACCATTTTACAGCCTTGTGTATTTTAGGGATTGAGAATTAAGTAGGCAGCATCTGAATTGAAATGAATTATGTCATTTTTATATTAGCAATCTCTTGCAAGTTAAATAATCCTGTAACTGACAGATAATCATTGGCTCATGTATTTGGCAGTACTCATTTGTAATTAGACTTCATTTTTTAGTTAAAATTCATTAAAATGGCATTGTTCTATGAGAATATTGTGGTGTCCTTAATGATACAAAATAAATTATGATCTCATTTCAATTTTTTTCTGCTCCAGGGTAAAAAACAGAGTTTATTTCAAATCAAGTTGCACATATAAACTATGAGTAATCACAAAACTTAATCAAAAGCTTTCCTAAAATTAATCGGCCTTATTTAATACAAGGCATTTTTTTTATAGCATAACACAATTCAGATAAAAGACCTTGGATTTGATTTCCTATAATTTCCAGCTGTGCCTCAGTATTAAATTTGACATAAATATAAACATAAAAGAATGTATGAAATGTTACATGTATCACCTACCTAGGTCACCTTGAAAGACCTGCCTCATACTCAAGAATCTGTTTGTCTTGTTACTGAAGCCTGAAATTCTTGCCTTCTATTATTATTGAGTATCACTAAATTAATGAGTATTGATGAGCATAAAAATGAAAACAGTATATCACTTACATACACAGAGTTAATTATGCCAAACATTTACACCAGAGAATAGGCTTAGTATAATGGTTTACACCTTCAAACAATACTGTTTTCTATCCTTTGAAGTATCCTTTATATATGTTGATGGAAGTGAATTCATGGCTGAATATTTAATGGAATTAGAAGTATCTAGGAAGTTAATTTTACTTCTTATATCCCAAGAGGCTTGCAAACAACAAATTATGGGAATTATTTTTCAACTTGTATGTGACAGTTTTGGTTGTACAGGGAATTTAGTTAAGTTATTATTTGATCTTGTCCATTAAAGAATATAAGGGAATATGACATGGTATTACTCTCTGCAGGGAACACTGTTACTCACTAATGGGAACTTTTAAAGAAAAGTCAATCAAGAACAGACAACTGATAGGCACTTGTTACTTAAAATGACAATCATTTCCTACAACTTGGTCTGACACATTAAATAGCTGATTGTATTGGCAAGTGTTATGTTCCACATAGCTTTTCTTAAATGATGTAGCTTAAAAATGACAGCACAGAGTAAATGTTTTATTTGTTTGGAGAAATAAAAGATAAATTTTGATTCCATAATTTTAAGAAAACATCCCAGTTTGGGGAATATCATAGGACACCAGATATTTGAATATTTTTAATCAATATAATGAGAGTTGTAAGTCTTTTTTCAAACTTAGGTTCACTCATCCACAAATGTTACTACTTTTCAAATAGGCAGAACACATTCAAAATTTCTCTAAGAGAATGGAATAGGTACAATTATTCCTTCAAACAGAATCAAGACAGCAGTATCCACCACAGTATGGGAGAGGGTGACCACTATGCCACATTCACTATGAACACCAAAGAAATAAAATCACCGCCATCTTTTCAAATATACCCTATTTTAATTTTGCTCTGTTAAGAATTACTCTTATACATTTAATTTTCTTCCTGAATTTTAAATTTCTGAAGTGTTTATATGGTCTAAAGCATTCATCTCTACCCAGGGTAGAATTAGAATGAGTTTTGCTGTTGTTGCTGTTGTTCTATCTTTTTTACTTTCTCATTTTGACTTGTTTCTATAACATCCTTGACCTCATTTTTAAATTAAAACTGGGTTATTTTGTAATAAGGTGCAATTTGTTCATTTATAGGAACCGTATGTGGATTGAAAAAAATCAAGATAAATCTTCATGTGCAGCATACAGGCAGATTGCCCTGGACTGTGTATCTATGCAGGGTCTGATAGCAATCAATGGTTTAGCTCCACTGCATCTCAAGATGTATTTGCACCCAGTTGTCCAGTGGTAGTGTCCTCACCCTGGAAATAATTTAGTTGCAAATTGACTGGAAGATGGTGAAAATTGAAAGTTAAAATTAGAAATACTCATAATAAACAGCAGAAAAAAGGTCAGATGATGCCGTGCTATGATGAGATTGGAATGGCTGGTAAATGAGGTTTTGTGTTTGTCGTGAGATGTATGTGACATGCCTACCCGATGTCGCTGTAATATCCAGCCTTGAAGAGGAGATTACCAGGCAAATTGATGCTGGGGAGAATTTTCTGTTAGATTGGAAAATTAGAATTGTACTCATCCCCCCTTGATGTGTGTGAGGTTCCTTCACATTAATACTGCTCAACTTGGCAAAATTTTAATCATCATTAACACAAATATTTGGATTACCTCATAAAACAGTTGTCTTCTTGAGATTCCTGCTATAATGTTATATGCATACCCACCTTCTAAAACCCCTGTGTCACCTATTCAAATCACCAGTATTAAAAATTAAGTATATATTCAATGTAAAAATATTAAAAACTCTAATCACATCATGGCATAAACATATTGTTTTAGTTTCTGAATTAGAACGCATCAATTAGCTCTTCCCAGGATTTTGAAATCTCAGGACTTGTGAATTTAGAAAAGAGATAGGTCATTGTACGTGAGAGAAAAATAACGATTTTCTCAGTCAGTATTTGTGAATGGGAGTAGATTTGCTTTAATGTGATAAAGGCATACTGAGACACCAGAGAACACATGTTATTGATGAAACTTTCAAGGCCATCTAGGGTTATCTAAACAGAAGACAGAAGTACAGTTTAAAATAGATGTGCAAAGTCCATTCAGTGGACAGAAAGAAGAGTGTTTTTTGTGTTTTGAGATTAGCATCATCTAAAAGTGCCTGTCTGGTTTTCGCTCTTGTTTGACCCGGTAGATTGAGAGTCACACTGGTTTATTTACTCTGATTGTAACATTGCATTTATAAATTGAGTTGTTTTATCCTTTTTGGGAATTAGGAATAATCACCCCAGAGAAAGAACTGAAAGTCAATGTAGCAGGGGGCACACAGCCACTCTTGCTGGCCAAAGAAGAGGACACAGGGACAAAAAGGTCAAAACCTACAGAGGACAATAAATTTTGTCATGAACAGGTAAATATGTGGTTTTCTCTTTGGTGCACAAATCGATTTTTGTTGTTGTTGTTTGTTTGTTTCTAGGTTCCTAGTCATTTTCGAAGCCCCAAGTTTGTGTACTGTTGAAATGCACATAGACATTACAAGTGGCACTAGCATTACCTCTTGATGTTACAAATCACAGTCTGAAGTTGTCGAAGTATATCAATGAATAATGGCCATGCTTATGCGATCTTTTCCAGTTCTATCAGTGTCCTTATTGCAACTACAATAGTAGGGACCAAAGTCGGATCCAGATGCATGTCCTGTCACAGCACTCTGTACAGCCAGTCATCTGCTGTCCCCTCTGCCAGGATGTCCTCAGCAACAAAATGCACCTACAGCTGCATCTGACCCATTTGCACAGTGTGTCTCCAGACTGTGTGGAGAAACTGCTTATGACAGTAAGGAATGCCAAAGGCTGATGCAAAACTGATGGGATCTATGTTGTTATCAAACTATGTCAGTAATTATGGGTTCATAGAAATGAATTTCTTCTGAGCTACTTGGAGATCTTTATTGACTGTGTGCCACAGAAATCACAGAGGAGACCCATTTGTGGTCTTTCTTGCTTAGAGAAAAAATATGATATAAAGTATAGCTTAATTAAGGATATTTTGTGGTTCTTTTTGTAACAGTGAAATGACTTATGTGGGTACCTTTAGCTTAAACGTTTCTTGGTTATCATTAGTCCTTCAAAAACCTTTAGGTCATAGCATTAAAAGAAGAATATAGGATTATAGTAACATAGAAGTGGTAGATATTCCTGTTTCCCTGCTTGGGTTAGAAAAATGTAAGTGGAATACATATTTTATTATACATATGTTTTTCCACACACATATGTTCCAATGTATACATACAAGTGTGTGTGTGTGTGTGTGTGTGTGTGTGTGTGTGTGTGTTTTCACTGATTTCCAGAGCATATTTAACACAGATCCCTTTGGTGTTCAAAGGTGCCTGTCCCTGATGTAATGATGCCAAACAGTATGCTACTGCCAACAGCTGCCCCTGAGAAATCAGATCGGGACCCACCTGCAGCCATGTCAGTAGAGGGTTCTGGAAAATATTCAGGTATGCATGCATGGAGAAAGCTTTCAGAACTTGCCAGTGGTAGTGCTCAGAATTATCCTATGAAAGATAATTGTCTATCTATCTTTGGGTCTTTACAATGAATACTCCATTTACATCATTCCCACTGCTTTCTCTCCCCCAACTCTCCCTGTGTCCCCTCCATTTCTTTAATTCCTATTTATTTACACATACACACACACAGAACCTGCTGAGGTCACTTAGTGCTGCCAATATGTACATGTGTTTAGAGATGACTACTTGGAATTGGGATTTAACTACTAATCAGTGTGTTCCTTCTGGAAGAAAACTGAATCTCTCAGCAGTCATTAATTATCTCTTTCCATCCAGGTGTAAGGAGATCCCCTTGTAAGAATCCCCCCCCCATCCTCAAAGACATTTTTATTGGCACAAAGGAAACAACATATGGTGCTGTCCAGAGTTTTATTTCTAAGACCTTTTGCTTTGTTTTACCATAACTATTTCTACCCATCCTTAGAGAAGCCTAGTCACAGGTGACCAAGAACATTTTAAGTATTCCAATTCAAGAACACCAAGTTCATAGCCCTTGGTAAAGTGCTTATTGCAATACAATGTGATTACTTTTGCCTTGTATTCTTCACTGTCCTTAAATTCCTACAGGTCATGAGTTATTACCTATTCATCTTATGGACACCTGGTGTAGTGTTTGTGGCAGCCCAATAACAGTTCTACACAGAGTCAAAAAAGCAGACATCATTACTGGCTCTCACTTTACTGACCTTCAAGTAGTCTGAGTTCTTACCATAAGATGTATTTTTCTTTCTCTTAACAGGTGAAAGCCCAGTGGATGACAAAAGTATAGTAAGTCTGGAGGATTCAAAGGCCAGTGTGGAAATAAAGAGTGAGGAGCAGAAACCAGCAAAGGAGCCTATGGAGGCATCAGAATGGAATAAGAACAGCAGTAAGGATGTGAAAATCTCAGACACTCTGCAAGATCAACTGAGTGAACAACAAAAAAGGCAGCCCTTATCAGTTTCTGACCGCCATGTTTATAAGTATCGTTGTAATCACTGTAGCTTGGCTTTTAAAACTATGCAGAAGCTTCAGATACATTCCCAATATCATGCAATTCGGGCCGCTACAATGTGTAACCTCTGCCAGCGGAGTTTCCGTACATTCCAGGCTTTAAAAAAACACTTGGAAGCAGGCCACCCTGAACTGAGCGAAGCTGAACTCCAGCAGCTATATGCCTCCTTGCCTATGAATGGTGAACTCTGGGCAGAGAGTGAAACGATGCCCCAGGATGAACATGGCCTAGATCAGGAAATGGAGAGAGAGTATGAGGTGGACCACGAAGGGAAGGCAAGTCCTGTAGGAAGTGACAGTAGCTCTATTCCAGATGACCTGGGCTCTGAACCAAAGCGGACCTTACCTTTTAGAAAAGGACCCAATTTTACAATGGAAAAGTTTCTTGATCCATCTCGTCCTTATAAATGTACAGTGTGTAAAGAATCATTCACCCAAAAGAATATTCTCTTGGTCCATTATAATTCAGTGTCTCACTTGCATAAGTTGAAAAAGGTTCTGCAAGAAGCCTCCAGTCCTGTCCCCCAGGAAACCAACAGCAGCACGGATAACAAGCCCTACAAGTGCAGCATCTGCAGTGTTGCGTACAGCCAAAGCTCGACCTTGGAGATCCACATGAGGTCTGTGCTCCACCAGACAAAGGCCAGGGCTGCAAAGCTGGAGCCAAGTGGGCACCTAACCGGTGGGCACAGCATCACAACCAGTGTGACTAGCCCTGGCCAAGGGATGTTAGAATCCATGAGCTTAGCTTCAGTCAACAGCAAAGATACCCACTTAGATGCCAAAGAATTAAGCAAAAAGCAAACCCCCGAATTAATCTCTGCTCAGCCTCCCCATCATCCACCGCCACGGTCACCAGCACAAATCCAGATGCAACTTCAGCACGAGTTGCAGCAGCAGGCTGCGTTCTTTCAGCCACAGTTTCTCAATCCAGCATTTCTGCCTCATTTTCCAATGACCCCAGAGGCACTGCTCCAGTTTCAGCAACCCCAGTTTCTCTTTCCGTTCTACATACCTGGGGCAGAGTTTAGCTTGGGGCCAGATCTGGGCTTGCCCAGCTCTGCAGCATTTGGGATGCCAGGTATGACAGGAATGGCTGGTTCCTTGCTTGAAGATCTGAAGCAACAGATTCAAACACAACATCATGTTGGCCAAACTCAGCTTCAACTTCTCCAACAACAGGCACAGCAATACCAAGCTGCTCAGCCCCAGCTGCAGCCGCAAAATCAGCAGCCGCCCCCACCACCGCAGCAGCCACCACAACAGCAAACAAGCAAATTGTTGAAACAAGAGCAAGGTAGCCTGGCAAGTACAGACTGCCAGCTCATGAAGGACATGTCATCTTACAAGGAGGCAGAAGATATGACTGAAAAACAAGAAAAACCAAAGCAAGAATTTACAAACGAAAGCGAAGGATTCAAAGACAGCAAAGACACAAAGAAGCAAAAGTCCTTAGAAGCCTGTATTCCTCCACCCCGAATAGCCTCCGGGGCCAGGGGAAATGCAGCCAAAGCTTTACTGGAGAACTTCGGTTTTGAGTTGGTCATTCAGTATAATGAGAACAGGCAGAAGGTCCAGAGGAAGAGCAAAATCGGGGAAGGTGAAAACTCTGACAAGCTGGAGTGCGGAACGTGTGGTAAATTGTTCTCTAATGTTCTTATTTTAAAGAGTCACCAAGAACACGTGCATGGGCAATTTTTCCCATACGGAGCACTAGAAAAATTTGCTCGCCAATACAGGGAGGCCTATGACAAGCTTTATCCAATTTCTCCTTCCTCCCCAGAAACCCCCCCGCCTCCACCTCCGCCTCCGCCTCCTCCCCTGCCACCTGCACCCCCACAGCCCTCTGCTCTGGGGCCAGTGAAAATCCCAAACACAGTCTCTGCTCCTCTGCAAGCTCCACCACCTACTCCTCCACCACCTCCACCTCCCCCTCCTCCACCGCCTCCTCCACCTCCTCCCCCGACTGCTCCCCTCCCTGTCCAACTGCCTGTTTCTCTTGATCTCCCCCTCTTTCCCTCCATTATGATGCAGCCGGTCCAGCACCCTGCACTTCCCCCTCAGCTTGCCCTGCAGCTGCCACAGATGGACACCCTCTCTGCTGATCTCACTCAGCTTTGTCAACAGCAGTTGGGGCTAGACCCCAGCTTCTTAAGGCACTCCCAATTCAAACGGCCACGGACCCGGATTACAGATGATCAACTGAAAATCCTGAGAGCTTATTTCGACATCAATAATTCTCCAAGTGAAGAACAGATCCAAGAAATGGCAGAGAAATCTGGCCTCTCTCAAAAAGTCATCAAACACTGGTTTCGAAATACACTCTTTAAGGAACGACAGAGAAACAAGGATTCTCCATACAACTTCAGTAACCCTCCTATAACTGTTTTAGAAGACATCAGAATTGAGCCACAACCCACATCTTTAGAACATTACAAATCAGATGCCTCATTCAGCAAAAGGTCATCCAGAACAAGGTTTACGGACTACCAGCTTAGGGTTCTGCAAGACTTTTTTGACACAAATGCTTACCCAAAAGATGATGAAATAGAACAGCTTTCTACTGTTCTCAACCTTCCCACTCGGGTTATTGTTGTATGGTTCCAGAATGCTCGTCAGAAAGCACGGAAGAGCTATGAGAACCAAGCAGAAGCTAAAGATAATGAAAAAAGAGAACTCACCAATGAACGGTATATTAGAACAAGCAACATGCAGTACCAGTGTAAAAAGTGCAACGTCGTCTTTCCCAGGATCTTTGACTTGATCACACATCAGAAAAAGCAGTGTTATAAGGATGAAGATGATGATGCCCAAGATGAAAGTCAAACTGAAGACTCCATGGATGCCACTGACCAAGTGGTCTATAAGCATTGCACAGCATCTGGCCAAACAGATACAGCCAAAACCACTGCAGCCCCAACAGCCAGTTCTGGCTCTGGGACTAGCACACCTCTGATTCCATCTCCCAAACCAGAACCTGAGAAGAACTCTCCAAAGCCTGAATATCCTGTAGAAAAGACAAAGCAGAGTGACCCCTCTCCTCCTCAAGTCACCAAGTCAGCTCCCCCATCAGTAGTGACTTCTTCAGATTCGCAGCAGGCATCCATATCCCAGCCTCCACCACAGCCACCCAAACAAACCCAACTGATTGGAAGACCTCCCTCCGCCTCTCAAACTCCAATCCCTTCCAGTCCACTGCAAATTTCCATGACTTCTCTTCAAAACAGTCTACCTCCACAATTGCTCCAGTACCCGTGTGATCAGTGTACCATTGCCTTCCCGACCCTGGAACTTTGGAAGGAACACCAACACATGCACTTCCTCGCTGCTCAAAACCAATTCCTTCACTCTCCATTCTTGGAAAGACCCATGGACATGCCCTACATGATATTTGACCCCAACAATCCACTGATGACCGGACAGCTGCTGGGGAGCTCTCTCACACAGATGCCACCACAGACCAGTCCTTCCCACCCCTCGGCCCCCGCCAGTGTTGCTGCTTCCCTTAAAAGGAAACTGGACGATAAAGAAGATAATAATTGCAGTGAGAAGGAGGGCGGGAATAGCGGGGAAGATCAGCACCGCGATAAACGCCTGAGAACCACCATCACTCCGGAGCAGCTCGAAATACTGTACGAAAAGTACTTGCTGGATTCCAATCCTACCCGAAAAATGCTTGATCACATTGCACGAGAAGTGGGGCTGAAGAAGAGAGTGGTGCAAGTATGGTTCCAGAACACGCGTGCTCGAGAGAGGAAAGGGCAGTTCCGAGCTGTGGGTCCTGCCCAGTCCCATAAACGGTGCCCATTCTGCAGAGCTCTGTTTAAAGCAAAGTCAGCCTTAGAAAGCCACATTCGCTCGCGCCACTGGAATGAAGGGAAGCAGGCAGGTTACAGCTTGCCACCAAGCCCCTTAATATCCACAGAGGATGGGGGAGAGAGCCCACAGAAATACATTTATTTTGATTACCCATCTTTGCCATTAACTAAAATTGATCTATCTAGTGAGAATGAATTGGCCTCCACAGTGTCAACGCCTGTTAGTAAAACAGCAGAGCTGTCTCCGAAGAATCTCTTAAGTCCTTCTTCTTTCAAAGCCGAGTGTCCCGAGGATGTCGAGAATTTAAATGCCCCTTCCGCTGAGGCTGGGTATGATCAGAATAAACCTGACTT